TTGATCTTGTGTCTAAGAATAGAATTCTGTTCTATTTTTGGAACAAAATGATTACAAGATCAAAGTAACCACAGAAGTTGCTAGCAACATGTTGCCTAGTGTATGGAGGCCTTTAAACAACTGAGGTGAGACTCATGAGACCTGACACAGCAAACAACACGAGGCAGCAGCGTATTGGGTGGAGCATAAGTGGACGACAATTAGAGTTTCGCTTAAAATTCTGTTCGAGCTCGATGTACGTGAAGTTGAAGGGAAAAGGTTTGTGCCTCACAAAGAAGAAGGGCTACTAAGTAAGTAAGAGTGTTACTGCAACCTTGCAATTGCTGTATTTACCAATACTAATAAAATGTACTAAATTTGATTCTATCTGACGATATTTGACTATTGTCGGACGTCTAATACTTTTAAAGATAACTAGAACAAAACTAGCTTAATGCAGCTCATCTTTACTACGCAATCTCAATTAGCTTAGAGTTATATTGTGTGAAAATTTCAGAGCGGCAGCAAGTCTAAAAGACGAGATAGAGCTGTCCGGAATCTAATGTGTCCAGAAATTGCTTCCTTACTCTACATTATTATAATGTACATAGTCTAGATGTATCAGATTAATATTTTTCTGCTTAACAATACATAGCGTAATTGGGAATTCTGTTCATAGCAAAAAATGATTCACTATTATGCATGCATGCATGCTCTAAGCCCACCGTCCACTATTAAACTTGTTGAATGTGCCGTTAACTCTACTACTTGAAAAAATTTTTTTCACTAGCTATTAATTTCGCAAAAAATTTTATTTAACACACAGTGCAATACATTCTAAAAATGAAAAAATAGTTTATTTTCTACAAACTCTATCTATTTTCCTTGAGCAATAGCTAAAAAGATAGGAGTAATAGCATCCCTAACAGCCTCAGGAAATTTACATTCGTTAAAATAAGTAGTTCCCCTTACTGACGAATGCTGAAAATTGAGAGCTCGTTGCAGTATTTCATCAGGTATTCTACCAACAAACTGGCCAAATGTTGGCTTAGGCAAACCATTACAAGTGCCAACGCAGGAATGAGTAATGAAAAACATTGCCATTGCTTCGATCCCAGTATCAGTTGCTCCATATTCCCTTTTAACAGAGATCATAGCAGGATCTGTTAATCTATAATGGTTTCCATTCTTCACTCCTTGTATATCAGCAACCATTTCTTCTCCTTTGCCCTTCACCCAGCTCCAGTGCATGAATGCTGTCAATATGGAGTCTACTCCTCTAGCTTCAACTGACACATACCCATAATTGTTACACCATTTGATGAATTCACCTTCGAGAAAATCTTCATTTACTGTGTACTCATCAAGCTTGACTTTAGTACAATCACCAACTTCAGTAACTGTACCAAGTTCACATTCAGTAAATTCCAATCCTCCTCCAAATCCTGAGGCATATTCCTGAGCTTTAGAGTAAATCTTTAAGGTAGAATCCCAACCTTTTCGCTCCCAAATATAGTTGTCTTTGAATTTTTTTACAACAATATTTTGTCCACATTTAGTAGGATGCTGGGTATAGTGCCCCTTAAAAGCATATCTGAATCTTCCTTGAGCAAACAGTTCTAGGTCAAAAGATGACTTCCATACAGACATACTAGTAGTTTACTAAATTATTCTTTTTGTAACAATATCAATGGAAAGCTGATTCCTTATAACTGTATGTCAGTCAGAGAAAGTACAAGGGTTATCCCCTTCCTGAAATTTCCACTGTATGTGAAACCATTTCAAAAACTTTAGCAGCTTTGAAAAGTCAATGACACCAATTCAAAATTGTGTAGGTAGTTTTGATAGTGTCACTCCCCTACTACATTTTAGTTTTTGGAGCATTAGTATGCCTACATAATAGTGATATCAGCCTGAAAGACCTCACTCATGCTAATTGCAGCGAGGCCAAAAATTGAGAACTTTTCTCCAGCTATTTTGCTATTGTGGCTATGCATTTTAATAAAATTTGATCACTGATAATTTTAGCTCAAAATAGTAAAAGTTACCATATCTCAACAAAGCAGAATTAGCTCAATTGTATCACCCAATTAATATTTGTGATAAGTCTGTCATATAAATTAATTTTAGTATTAATTATTTTTATATTCATATTTAATTTTTAAATAGTAAATTAATTAATCAATTTAGTAATTTCAATTAATATTCTCCCTGAAAATTTACAAAAATTTTCTAAAAAATTAATTTTCCCAGCAAATTTTCTGAAAAAATTATTTTCTAATTTCTTAGTAAAATTTTTAGGGAAAACTTATTTTTTGGCAAAGTTTTTGGGAAAATGAATTTTCAAAAAATTTTCAGAAAAAATCAATTTTTAAAATTTTTCTAATAAATTTCTCAGGAAAATTATTTTCCTGAAAAATTTTTTAAGAAAAATTAGTTTTCCCAGCAAATTTCCCAGAAAAAAATAATTTTATTATTTTCCCGGCAAATTTTTAAGGAAAAATCAATTTTTTATTTTACCAGCAAGTTTTCAGGGAAAAATTATTTTTTATTTTACCAGCAAATTTTCAGAAAAAAATTCTGTTTTATTCTTGGCAAATTTTCTGGGTAAAATTAACTTTCCGGCAAATTTCGCAGGAAAAGTTTTTTGTCGGGGAAATTTATCGCCCATAGGCGGACTAGGCCAGGCTAATTATATATGGGCGTGGTACTTATTATTAATTAAGTTTTAATTAATAGAGAAGGGCGGGACTTCCTCCTAACCGTACAGTGCAGTGAAGCAGAAGAGCGATCATACAGAAAAAGTGCTTCATTACATGTGACTGGTAGACTTTCTAAAGACCAAGAGAGGGAAAGAAGCACCGCAAGGGAACCTTTCCACCTCTCTCTTCATTGAGATTCTGTGCCTCTTAGCTTCGCGGTCACTAGCCATTCAATTTTGACACTGTTTTATTATCATATTGTGGTCTGAAAGGCTGATAACCATCTCCCTGACCCTCTCCTTTCTGTGTCTTCGTGTGTATTGCTGCTATCTCAGTTTCTCCCCCCTCTCTCTTTCTCTCTCTGGATCTCTTCTCTCTCTTTGGCAGTGGAATAAAGTTTAAGTTCCTGTGATATTATCATAATAAGATGGCTACTCCTTCAGTTTGGGTTGATGCTGTTGTCAATAAAGCTGCTCATCTTGTAAGTAACCTTTGCCTCTCTCCTCTTCTTTTTTGTACTTTTAATTAATTGAGGGGGTGTACATGTACAATAGGG